GCCATTATGCCAACTGCTGGTCCCGACATTTTGACTTTTAAATTTATATAAAAAGCCAAGGGGCTAAGATAGCCAAAGGACACCTAGATGGACTTACCTACCAGATATAAAGTGTACTACGAAGCCATGGACATTAAGACGGGTTTATAGCGGCCCAGGCTAACACAAGAAAGGGTGCAACTGGACCGGAAGTCCACTGGATCTGTGACTGACGTCGCCTTGCAGATAACGGGGCAGTGCAGACTGTATGCGGGGACTTCAAAAAGTTTGTGAGAAAATGGGATTAAAGAACGTGTTTATTTTGGTTCGAACATTTTTTTAAATTAATGCATAGTTTTTTTTATAATCTACATTTTCCATGAACTCTTAAAAACTTTATTTACTGGGGCCAGCAGGTGGCACAGTGGATAAGGTGCTGGACTCCCACATGGCTGAATATGGTTCAAGTCCCCGGCTTGGCAGCTTGAAAATCACACCAGCTGTGTGTGTATACATGCCCAAAATCCCAGGTGAAGAACGGGGAAGAAAGGACTGCAGCGTGTCCATCCCTCCAGGAAGTGATTTCTCACTTTCCCTCTCTCTCTCTGGCAAGCCCATGCACCTTATGGCAAAAACCTTTGAAAATATAACAAAGCAAAACTTTCTCTATTTCCTCCATGGGTGAGAGGGAGGGAGAGACAGCACCTCAAAGGGGTCCTGATGTTGCCATCCACCCTCAGCCTCAGCCAGCCCAGGACATAGGCAAGGCATGCCTATTGTACTCAGGGAGGTCTCCAGACTTGAACTGGGAACCTTCTCCTGTGGGACTGCCTGGCAGATCACCATGTTTTATTGCTGGACCACAGTCTGGCCCCTTCCATGAACTTTTTGAAGACCCCATATATCCTAAGTAATGCTGGGACAATTGCTCATCCATAAGGAAAATGGAGAATTAAATTGATTGCAACCTCACACCATACACAAAATCAGCTCCAGGCATATAAGAACTTAGAACTTGGGACCAGCAATTGATGTAATGGCTATATCGTTGGACTCCCATGTAGTCAACCCTGGTTCGAGTCCTGGACCTGGTGGCTTAAACTCACGCCGGGCACGTATGCGTGTGTGCCTAAGATCCTGAGAGGAGAATGGAGGAGAAGGGACTGCAGCGTGGCCATCCCCCATGGGAGGTGATTTCTTGCTTTCTGTCTCTCTCTTTATCTTTCTGGCGAGTGCACAGGGCCTATAGCAAAAATCTCTCCAGAAAAAAAAAAAAAAAAAAAAGGAAAGAAAATGTCAAGGCCCTAACAAAATAGGGTTTTGCACATGATTGGTGAAAAATAATGCTATAGGGCAGGGGTCCCCAACCCGGTACTGGGAGTTGGGGTGCACAGCAGGAGGTGAGTAGGAGGTGAGCAAATGAAGCTGCATCTGTATTTACAGCCACTCCCCATTGCTCCCATTACCGCTGAGCTCGGCCTGCTGGCACATCAGCGGCAGCGTTTGGTTCTCACAGGAGGTGACCCTCTTGGGAACTGCGCCTGTGAGGGACCTAGGTTGCTGCTCTCGTAAACATCTCTGCCCCCTGTCTGTAGAAAACTTGTCTTCTAAGAAATTGGTCCCTGGTGCCAAAAAGGTTGGGGATGACTGTTATGGATTATATGGGTCAATAGAAACTCCAACCCACTGCTCACGAGAGTGTGAAGTTTACCACTTTGTAAAACAACTGAGTGTTACCTCGTAAACCAAACATTAGCCAACCCCAACGTGGGCAATTCCACGCCTAGAAAGGCACCCTAGA